ATACAAAATAAGTCTATTTAATTATTTGCCAACAAAAAACACAGTTACATTATGAGCATCTTCCTCCCACTCTGTTTCTCCCCAGAACTTCAACCATGGAACCAGGGAAAGAGAAATCCGTTCTCCGCAAGAACCCAGAGAGAACAATTGAATTTAGCTCCTGTTTATCAGGATTTTGGGATTTTCATCTCTCTAACAATAAACTACAGATGCAATTTTAGCAAATATGCTCTGCTTCAATCCAGTGAATACTAAAATCAGTGGCAGCCGCCCCTTAATCATCTGAGAATAAAGCTCAATTGAAAGACTCGGTCTAACGGCGGGGGTTTCAGAGTTAAAAATGACTATTATGTAATAGTTAGTAAATATTTCGAATATTTAATTTACGTATATATATGATCGTACATATTGTATATGTTTAAAACTTTCGTGTTAGTATTATAATCAAACCATTTTATTTTTTTCATTTATTTGATGACTTACGTACTAAATACGTATAAAATCGATATAACACGTTTAATATCCGTATTTAATGAATTAAATTGCTAGCTTAACTATTATTTATATACTTTTTATTTCTAAAATATTAATTATATATATATTTTATAGCTATTGACGTACTTTAAAACATACTATTAGTTTCAAAACAAAATAAAATACTCATGTATATTTTATAGGTACCTTACCCGTAACGATTTTACTAACTTTTCTCTCTGACTTTTATTATTGGTTGGGTTTCTTTCTCTGAATTTGAGATGAACTTAAAGAAGGAAACGTAAAATAGAGAAAGACTAAAAAAAAGGTAAAACATAGGGACGGAGTAAATATATGTCAACGTGTCTGTTTTATATTGGCTTGGAGTACCACGTAATTGGAGTGACATGGTACGCCGGGTGCATACAATAATTTCTCTCATTCGAGTTTTTGGACTAAGTAGTTGGTGGGAATGGCTTTCTTGCTTGCCAGCTTTAGTGACTGGTTGTATAAATCTCGACGAGAAAGCATTTTGTTTGCGATTTTCAGAGCAAGGATTTTGACATAGTTATTCTCAATGTTTATAGATATTATGCCATTTGTGGCTATGTGTTTGCTCATTTTGCAGGTACAGCTGCTAATAGGGTTGTCCATTTTGTGGCAAAACAGACCCTTTCATTAGCAGTTCGACTATTTATCGACTATTGCACGGTGTTATTTTACATTCTTTGACTATGTATTGGCTAGGAATTTACCTGGCTATTGTCTATGTTAAAAAAAACTAAGACTCTGAAACCTGAAGAAAGACGTAATAAGCAAGAAAAAGGAAAACCAACAAAAACCCATATGGGAAACCTCCAATCCAAACGCTTGGGAAAGTGGCCTCTCTCTCATCAGATCCTACAAAACCGGCAATTGTTTGTTCCAAGATCAACAAAATGACGAGGAAATTATCTAAGAGAATGCAGGAATCGTAGTTCGACTTGTTCCTTCTCGTCCGTGGGACACAGGCACACAGCTACCACTACAATACAAATCCAGATACTATAGTCGTCTGGTTTCCTATCGATCATTCGTATTTGTCGTGGCCAAAATATTAGTAGAAGCGGGTCCGAATTTAAAAATTGTAAAATGGTGTTGTTTAATTCTTAGGAAAAAATCAATGTTGTGTGGGGATTTACCTTTGAGGATGTTAAATTAGTGATTATGCATATGAATCCACATAGAGCTCCTGGTCCTGATGGCTATTCAGCTGGGTTCTTTCAGAAGGCCTGGTCTATCATTGGAGAGGACATCACTGCAACAGTTTTGGACTTCTTCTCTTCTGGCAGCCTGCCAACTAGTGTCAATTCTACTGCAGTCTCCCTCATCCCAAAGGTACCTTCTGCCTGTAAGCTCAAAGATTTTCGACCCATTTCCTGTGCCAACATTCTCTAAAAAATCATCGCAAAACTACTGTCAAATAGACTTAAGAAGGTGTTTTCAACTGTAATTAGTAGTAATCAGTCGACTTTTATTGAAGGAAGAAGATTAGTGGATAATATCTTATGGCTCAAGAATTAGTTAGTGGTTACAGTAGAATGACTCTCTCCTCCCGCTGTGCTATAAAAATTGACCTGATGAAGGCTTTTGACTCGGTAAACTGGGATTATCTATTCTTAATGATGGAAGTTATGGGATTCCCGTCTAAGTTTTTGTATTGGATAAAACTCTGTGTTAAAACTTCTTGTTTCGGTATCTGTGTCGATGGAGGGCTTTGTGGTTTTTTTGGGGCAAAGAGGGGGGGTGAGGCAGGGGGATCCACTCTCTCCCTACCTGTTCACTATTGCAATGGAGGGTATATCTTCCTTACTTAATAGAGCTGCAGTGAATAGGTCATTGGTCTACCATCCACAACGCAAAAACATAGGGTTAACTCACCTATGCTTCGCATATGACTTTCTCATTTTTACAGAAGGGTCTGCGCAAGCAATATGTAGAGTTAAGGAGCTTTTGAATGAGTTCTATCTACTTTCAGGTCTTAAGTGTAATCCAAGCAAATGTGAAGTGTACTTTGGGGGGCAATCTGTTCTCTTCAAGAGTAATGCTTTGCAGATATCTGGATTCCAAAAAGGGAAACTCCCAGTAAGGTACTTGGGGCTTCCATTATTCTTTGGAAAGCTTTCTTCTACTGATTGTGATAAGTTGGTGGCAAAAATCACTCAAAAAATTTGGACCTGGCGTGCCAAGCAGCTGAGTTATGCAGGTAGGCTTGAACTGATCAACTCTGTAATCATGGGTTTGCTGAGTTTTCCTTTTGCCTAAGAAAGTACTAAAGCGAGTGTATACTATTTGCTCGAATTTTCTTTGGCATGGTGGGAAGGAGGGTAGAGCAAAAATTGGTTGGGATCGACTAGCTCGACCAAAAGTGGAAGGAGGACTTGGGATTAAAGATCTTTTAGCCTGGAATAGGGCTTGCTTTATCAGGATGATCTGGCTATTAATGATGAAAAGTGGGACTATTTGGGTGGCCTGGATGTGGTGTTATAAGGTGAAACAAGGTAGTATTTGGACTATGAGTGTTAGTGCCAGTAGCTCGTGGGCATGGAGAAGGGTTCTAAAGCTCATGCCTCTGCTCCTAGCTCATCTGACGATGTCTGGTGCAACTCCTAGTTGGGATGTCAGGTTGATGACTGTGTATAAAGTGTCTACTGTTTGGAATAATTTTTGAATTGAATATCAGAAGGTGGATTGGGCGGGTCTGGTTTGGGGGAAAGGCCATCTACCAAACAACAGTTTCCTTGCGTGGCTTGTCTTGCTTGATGGCATTATCACTAGTGATAAGCTGTTAAGATGGGGTATGATAACAGATGGTGCTTGTTTGCTTTGCAATTCCTCGGCTGAAACCAGAGAACATTTGTTTTTTCAGTGTACTTACTCAATGCAGGTGATTTCTTGTTGGAAGGATGCTCATCAGTTCTGCAGATCAGGTTGGCAGGAAAATGTGAATGCTGATGTTGCTCTGACTAGCAGGAAGACATCGTCTGGGAGAGTTGCAGGGGTTTTCTGGTGCATGTGCATTGCTAATTTGTGGCGTGAGAGGTGCAACAGGCAACACCAGCTACCTCCTAGGGATGCTGCTAGTATTGGTCGTTTAATAGTTTCTAATTTAATGTATTTGGGTAGTGTGGATAGTAGTTTGCAAACAGATCTTAGTGCAGCTGGCATAATTAGGAGTGGGCAACGGGAAACGGGTATTTGGGTATACCCGTACCCGTCCCGTTTTTTAAGGGTTACGGGTACCCATATTACCCGTAATATTATAAACGGATGGGACTTGGGATTGTACATTCCTAATATGGGTACCCGCGGGTTACCCGCAAATACCCGTTTGGGTAATGTGGGTACCCGTTTTACCCATTTGCGAACTCTAATCCATAGAAAGGGAATGTCCACTTCGCCACAAAGATGAAACTTTTCTTAGTAAGGAAACAAAGAACGCTATGTGAACATAATACTTGTAGTCTGCACTCTGCAGTGACATGCAACCTAAACTCATCCTTGTCCAAGAAGTACCATAGATTATTTTCATAGTTCAAAGTAGTCATCAATCGCTAAAGGAACCTCAGCGGTGTATGATTCCTTAACATTGAAATTATCAGTTACATTTTTCCTTCTACCCTGTTGAGTGCTGACAATAGCTGAATGCATGCAGGTTACCCTGTATACCACTCAATGTATGATGACTTTGTCTGGATGGAGAAGTTTGGTGACCCTAATTTTCGCAGGCACATCGTTGTGATTGTTCATGATTTGTGTTGAATGAAACTTCTTATTTGATAATTTGGTGCTTAGAATGATTTATTTCTATGCGTTGTGATTGTTCATGATTTGTGTCTTGTGATTGTTAAGCAAGTACAAGTTAATTTTAAACTTTTGTTAAAATTTGAGTGGTTTAAACTTTGGGTATTTATGGGTAGTATGGGTACCCGTTATCCGTCCCGTACGGGTAATGGGTACTCGTTTCCCATATGAGTTTGGGATATGGGATGGACTTTGGTCTCCAAATGGGACTGGGTACCCGTTTAAAACGGGACGGGTATCCCGTCCCGTTGCCCACCCCTAGGCATAATGAATTGAACTAAGTCGTTTGTAGGAAAGTGGGGGTTTTCTTTGGGATATTTTTTTCTGCAGGGCTGCTCACATCGAGTTACCCTTTTGTTGTATAGATTCCTATATGTACATTGCATATAGTTTGGTAATACAAAAGCAACTAATTCAACAGAAGAAAAAAAATTCTTAGGAAAAACTTGAGACTCGTCTTCATTTTTCAAAAAATTCCAAAACTTATTTTAAAGGTGAGACCCAAGATCATATTTGATGATTTCAGGATTTCATAAGTAGTCGAGAATAACAATTAAGAGCCATGGAGTTTTGCTTTTAATCTATATTAAAATTATAGTAGATTGTATGATTTAGAATGTATCCTCATGATAATTTAGGAAGACAATTGGAAAAAAATTATAAGAAGTCAAACACGAGTTAATCATGAGTTACTGATTTAATTAAGTCGTGAGCTAATTCACTTTTTTTAGAATCATCCATGCCGTCTAGTAATCAGGATTAATGACACAAATATTGTTTTTTTTTAATTTACCACTAATATTACAAATTAAAAACTATTGACACAAATATTGTGTTTTTTAGTAAGGATTGGGGCGGGACCACCTGAGACTCAGGCGGGACTGGTATTTTACCCAGTCCTGGGCGCCGGCGCCCCAATCTCAAGCGGCCCCGCCTGAAACATCTTTTTTAATTAGTCCCGGGCGCTGGCGCCCGAGACTCAGGCGGGAGCGCCCCAAACCCTTTTATTTTAAAATTTCGGACGGTCCCCCTTATCCTCCCACCTTATCCCCTCCCCACACCACACAAATCCTCCTTTCTTCTTCCTCCCCCAAACCCGCGAACCTGCCCCCAACCCTGCGAACCAGACCGCCGCTACCGCCCCAGACCTCGGCGCCGCCGCCCCAGACCTCGGCGCCGCCGCCCCAGTCCTCGCCGCCGCCGCCGCAGTCACGAGCGCCCACGTCCCAGACCTCGGCGCCGCCGCCTTTGACAGTAGCGCGTGGTGTTTAATCGCCATCTGTGCAGCTTGTTTCGAGTGAAATATCTGCCCCTTGTAGAATTCTCCTTCAAAACTATCAACAATAGGCATTGGAATTACGCCATATGAATCAGCAAGTGCAAATTCTTCGTCCTCTTCATTGCCCTGCAAGTAAAAATATGGAGGATAATTAAGCTGCTCTCCTTCCTCCTCCTCCTCCTCCTCCTCCTCCTCATCTTCCTCCTCTCCGTCATCACCGTGATCATAGTCATGATCGGATGGCACGCTCCATGTATCATCTTCTTCCTCTCCACCCTGATCATCACTGAGCTCAACATGTATCTCAGCACCCAAACAATAAGGATTTTGTGCCATAAAATTCCAAAGCACATCCAAGCTATCATCATCCACAATAGGTAACGCATAATGAAATAAAACATCATTCTGCCATTCTGGAAGACGGTAAGTGAAACCTGTGATCACATCACTATCTTTTACTGCTTCGTCTCTGCGCCGTATTCTCGGAATTAGAGTCTCACAAAGTTTGTGATATGTGACTCTGGATGGAACCGTCAACTGAAAACTACTACCACCAACGAATTTGACGCCCAAATTATTCTCTACTTTCTCCGATTTCCACCGAACAACTAGTTCAAATCTTCTAAAATCACTACAAAAAAACAAACTCACTAATTAAAAACTAAACACAATCATAATAGCATTTGAATAATATAATTACAAAAATAAAGGTGTCTCTTACCTATTAGCCATTTTTGCAGCAGCAACCAGAGCTCTCTCCTCTATTTTGGACGATTTTTTTTGTGGTGTGAATCTGAAACGAAAAGTCTGTCTGGGTTTTATAGGGTGGGTGGCCAATCCACCTACTCGCCTCAGTCTCGGGCGCCACCGCCGGAGTCTTGATTTCCCAACTAGTCGCTTCAGTCTCGGGCGCCGCCGCCTGAGTCTCAGGCGCCACCGCCTGAGTCTAATAAAACGGTCCAAAAACCAAGTCTTAAGCGGCGGCGCCTGAGTCTCAGGTGTACCCGCCGATTCTGATGTCTAAAACACAATATCTTTGTCAATAGTTATTAATTGGCCATATTCGTGGTAAATTTAAAAAAAAAACAATATTTCTGTCATTGTACCTCGTAATCACGCACAACAAACAATTGAAAGTAAATTGCAGCTTCCAATGAAATTATATTACTACAACACGAATTATCTCATAAAAATTTTGCAGATCTTACACATAACGCATATATATATATATATATTTCTATAAATCAGAAAATTCCGATTATGTACTATATCTCTTTTTTATTCCCTCTCAAATACTCCTTATGTTTTTTAAAAAGAATAGGAACAAACAAACAAAATTGGCAAATAGATAGATGACAACTGTCGTATACGTCGATCACTTGAGCTGGACCCACTCAGCTTCCGTAGGCAGCATGTTATGAACCACCGTCAACATATAATACCCCGTCGGCGCCACCGCACTGTTGGGCGGCGCCACGCACGTCACATCATACCTCCCTTCCCCAACTTTAACGGCGTCTTTGACCAACAACTTGACCAGCCTCTGGTTCATGGCCACGCCGTGAGTCGTAAACGCCGGCACGTACATGGTGACCTTGAAGTTCTTGAGGAAGATTTTCTTCTCGTTTAAGTTGACCTTGATGGTGAGCTCCTGGCCGTAGGTCATCGTCTTGGGGCAGCCGCCGTCGACGATCTTGGGCTTCTTGTCGGCCCGAGTGGGGGAGAAGTAAGGAGGGGAGAATTTCTCGACGCGGAGCTCGGTGGGGTACATGGCGTCGTAGATGTATCCGTTGTTGGTGTTGCTGCCGGCGATGAGGACTTTGCCCTCGAGGAGGACGACGGCGGTGGAGTGGTACATACGCGGGATGGTGGTCGGGGCGAGTTCCTTGAAGAGATGGTTCTTGTCGGGGGATTTGTAGTTGAAGAGGACCGGTGTGAGGTTGGGGTCGCGGGCGAATCCCCAACCCGATGCGCCTCTCTGTGCGCCGTTCACCATTAGGACTTCTCCGGTGGGGAGGATCACCTGTTTGTTTGTGATTTGTTAGGGTTGTTGTCAATGTCAAACGTACATCACATGAAACCAACCGTATTGGACGTTAAACTGAAAAAAAAAAAAAAAAAGAGTACCATGTCGCCCATGATCCTAGGGGTAGGCATTAGCTCCCTCCTCCAAGAAGGTCTCTCCCTTGTGATCTTCAACCTACCACAATCCCGAAGGGCCTGATAGAACATGTTCTTAGAAGCCAACGTGTAGGAATCAATGTGGGAGGAACCGCCGCATACGAGAACCTCAGCATCGGGGATCTCCTTGGGGTCGCTCGTTTTCAACTCCAGCGGCAGAAGCACCGCCATCCCACTTGCCGGGTAATTACGGTGCCCGCCGTGGAGCACCGGGAACTCCCTCACCACCGTGTTGGTGTCCGGGTTCAGCAGCACCGACCTGTTTTTTTTTTTTTCATATCCAACATATATAAGCTAAGCCCACCGTATATGAAAATTTCACTGAGTAAAATGACACGAAACTCACCTGTTATTGGCGAAGACGAAGATGTTTCTGTCGGGGGACAGGAAGACGAAAGGGTAGAGGTTGTTCTCGTCGGGGTCCTGAGTCTGCTGGAGGAAGTCGAAGAAGAAGGGCTTGGCGTTGGACGTTCCTTCCTTGGGGATGTACTCGAAGCTCTGGGCCGCGCGGCCGCCGATGACGATCATCCTGCCGTCGGCAGTCTGGGCCTGGGTTGAGTACCACCGTGGGGCAGAAAGTGCGGCGGGGTATTCCCTCCAGGCGCAGTTCGGGCACCCGTCAAGGTAGCGGACGGTGTTGGCGCCGCCTTGGAAACCTCCCGTGGAGATTAGGTTTCCTTCTAGAGTTAGCCCGCCGGAGGAGCACCACGTGTCCGTGTGAAGCTGCCATGCACGTACGCCATGCAAACTTGTTAGGAGCACTTTTATTATGCTATATAGCATTGGTGCTTTAATGTACAATTCAAAGTTGTACCATAACACTAAATGTATAAATTTATGTTGTACCATAAAGTAATTTGCACCATTATGTTATGGTACAACTTTACAACTTGAAATTGTACCATCACTTAAAGGTACAAGTTCAAGCTGTACCATAAAAGAATTTGTACAAAAAGTATAGGTACTGTTTGAGACTCGTCAGCCTCGTACAGATCTCTGGAATCCCTTCTCTCAAGGCGCCGCTCTGGACACACGAACAAGGAGGGGGCGCCTGGGCCCGTTAATCCTCCGACGCCCAAGTTAGTTTCTTTGAAGAGAGAATTGTCTCAAACCCGAGTTTAGTGAGAGAGAGTCCCCCGTGTGTAAATGCTACCAACTGCCCCTATTTATACTCACCAGAGTTCGAGGTTGATCTTCTCTACTTCTCTACCTTCATTTAATGCTTTGTCCCTTTTTGGTCAGACATCCCAACCACCTTGTCAGACTCCTGGCACGTGACAGGCGCCCGCAGACGCTGGACCACATGACAGTCTGGCCTTCTTTGGCTTCTAGTGTCTTGTCCTTATGCGCCCTCCCTTTTGCTTGGGCCTTGCCCCCCAATTGGGTTGTTTGGGAGCCCACGCTGTCGCTCATTGGGCTTTGTTCATAATACCTCCAACAGGTACAATCTAAAGTTGTACCATAACGTAAATGTACAATTTTAAGTTGTATCATAAAGGTAAAAACCTATAGCACCAATACTATATAGTATTGTAAAATTTCTCACTTGTTAGTGGTTAGAATTTCAGCTTTTTGAAAAATGTTTGATGTGATATACAGAATTACATCACCTAATTTACTTACTTTACGATTCATTTATGTAAATATATGATTATCCATTCCAATATTGCATATTGGTTTGGGGAAGGTTATTCATGCATATTGTTATTAATTCACGTTCTTGTAAATTATTTTTTCTGTTTAAAAAATATATCAAAATGATTGTCATCGTATAGATTATGATACATCAAATCATTTTTATTTTCAAAATCGAAAACCAGATTTAATTCTATAAAATATTATGGAAACAAATTATTGGTGGAAAAAAAAAGGAATAAATTTTGGGATTCCAATATTTTTGTGAATAATCACCAAAATGACGTGAACGTATAGGCGGAGGAAGGTGGTCTGGGTTTTGTCACGGCCTCACGGGATGTAGATAAGTTTCTACAAAAGATAATACATCCAAATGTATGCTTATGGAAGAGATCGAACTCACCACTTGAATTGGTATAAGGGTATTTTATCAGTTGACATATCTGTATTTGATTGACATAAAATTAATTTATTATACAATAAATGAAATCCCTTATTGAAATGAATTTCCAATCCAGATCTCTTTTATCACTTAGCAGCCTCTTCGATTTGGCCTCATAATCATGAAATCCGAAGCAGTAGCCTCCATTTCTAGGCTCTCCCTTTCTAATCTGCTAACTCTAATTGAATTTAATCATATTTAAATTTTGAAAAGAGGTCACACCTAATTTCAAATCCCAGCTCCGTCAATGTAAGAATGGAAACAAAAATGAGTGATTTAAGTATTGTAACCAAAAACATTTCCATTGCGACGTATCGGTTGGTTTTTTTTAGGTGTGTTAATTTCATTACCTCGAGTGGAATGAGCTGAGCGGTTTTGGTGTTGAGCAAAACGGAATGAGCAAAACAATCCTTCTCCCCGGTGGTCTCGTTGAGAATCCGGCACTGCCCGTTGGGCAGGAGGATCTTCGAGATCCGCCAGATGGTGGCATCGTACATCAGCACGTGGTCGCAATTGGGGAGCACGATGGAGTGCATTGCCGAGACCCCCGAATTGTCGGTGAACAGCTCGAACTTACCCAAGAAATCATCCACCGGCGGTGAAATCACCGGCGCCGCCGCAGGCTGGCCGACGAAGCTCTGTAGGTCGGCCTGGAACTGTGGGGTCCCGACGTCGTTGGGCAGGTTCTTGTCCTTGAAGTCGTCCGGGTTTCCGAACGGGTTTCCGAACTTCTCATGCGGGCCCAGTACCTTGTGCTGGTTCAGACTCCGAAAGTCGGTCACGTCGACTTTCGGAGCCTGAGCGGTCGCCGGCTGGTCGTTGGCGGCCACTGACTTGTCATTGGCAACCGCCGGCTGGTCGTGGGCGGCCGCCGTGCCGGCGGCGACCAGAAGGAGGAGGAGGAGGAGGTATGGCAGTCTCATCTTTTTTCTTTTTATTGTTGTTGTTAGATGTTGTGGAGATTGGAGAGTTAGTACCGCTTATTATTATTTCATTGTCTTTTTATGATTTTACATCTTTTTTTCTTCTATTAATATAGGTAAAAAATTTATCCCAAAGATAGATGTGGGGTTATTTTTGTTTCTGTGGTAGTTACGTTTTTACTATTTAGTGGTGTAATAATGATTTTCGCTGAGAAAATGTCAGATTTTTTTTTGAAAGAATTTATTCTTTTTTTGACTTTTTTTTAATTTATTGCCGATTGCTTTTTTAAGTGGAATACTTACTTTCCCGATTTTAACTCTGTCCTATTTTTTATCGGGAAACTTGAACGCATTCCAATAGGTATTACTCGATCTGATCAATGTTGGGTCGACGGTTAGTACCCAAGTTGTTATGAGACAATCCAAGTACAAGGGAAGGAACCCTATCTCTTCTGATTCCACCAAACCATACGCATATCTCAAATCCCGAGGTCACCGAACGAGAGTCCACTGAACTGACGTCCACCGCCCCGGATCTACCGATCCACGCTCTGATACCACTTGTCAAACCGAGCCGCTCAATTAGTAAGATATTGTCCGTTTTGGGCCAAACCCGCACGGTTTTACTCTTGGGTGTCCTCCCCAAGAGGCCTCTTACTAATTGGGCTAGGTGGACACTTATATACAAGGGTTCCTTCCCTTGTATTTCCGATGTGGTACTTGGATTGTATCCTAACACAACTTGTAGTAGTGTGGAGCGGACATGGATACTATTTTCGATCTGTTCTGTTCGTCCGTCTGTCCTAACTGGTTAATTTTTCTTTAGATTTATCCTATTTTGACTTATCTAACTCATATTTTCACCCAATTATACTTTAAATATGTACTAAAATTAATTTCTCAACTAATTTAACTCGATTAGGTTGCCTATTATCTTTATTTTCATTTATGAACTTATTTTCTTTTATTTTATCATGAAAATGTAAAAAGATTCTTAAAATAATATATAAAAATTGATCTAGCTAAATATTATCCGATCTAACACACATGCTTTATAGAGGACGAATATGGGTATTTATTGAGTTACTTGTCATGCCACGTATTGCCATCACTATTTCTGTGGCTTAATTAGCTACCACATTTATATATGTATATGTTGTTGAATTTTTGGCCATATATATAGTAGGACAGAACTGACAGTACTACAGACAATTGCAATTAGTTCGACTCGTCCAGTCTTATTCAGTTGCGTCAGTTGGTTGTCGATCGATGGTTTTTCCCATTGGATGATACGTTCTACGTCCCCACAACACAACCATGCATAATCTACTCATTCATTTATGTCGTAAAATGGTCCCCTTTGGAACAACCGCATCAAATTATGTTGTAAAATATAAGTGGTTTTATATTGGTGCATTCACCATGATTGGTACCAATTTGAAAATAAGATTCATACTTTGATATCTTACTAGTGTGTCAAACACCATATAGAATTATAATCAATGAGCGATCGTATTAGCTAATAGTTCTCCAATGTTGCAAATGAGCCAAACTGCTCATAAGTGATTTTGTGTTTGGCTCGAGAAAAGCTCGTTTGACACTCGACTCTTGAATATCGAGCTGGATTTGAGCTCAGTCTGGTACAGGTCGAGAGCCAGCTCGATTCGGTTGCTTGTTGACATCAACTCTTGAGCTAACTCGTTTGAGCTACAAGCTGGCTCGATAGTATGACTAGATAGCGAGCCACCTTGACTAGCAACTTATTAGCGAATCGATTAATAGTTTTATCAATTGACTTGTTGATAATTTATAGTTTCGCTAAATTATGAATCTCAACAAATATGATGCTTACGACCTTGAGCACGATCAAATATGTTATATAACTTAAAAGAGAAATTATGTATCATAGATTGCTTAGATACTAATTACTATTAAACAGCATAATATAAGCAATTATAATTTATGAACTACTATCACATGACATCTGAGATCGATTTGATCACCCGAGCTGATTGATGAGTTGAGGTAAAATAGAATTCGGCTCGACTCAAACTCAGACTCAACTGCTACACCCTTTGCTTCTGATCCACGTTGGAATCTACTGTGTCTGAGAAAGAAAAAAAAAAAAAAAACTTTGTTGTTTTTCCATCCTACCTATTAATGTCAGTTGTGCTCCACAGCCAATTAAGCAGCCTTTAAAATTGCACCTACATACGTACAATCACAGTCGTTACACCATTCACCACTACAACAACTAAATCTCCACTACAAATTCGCGATCAACAACGTGGCAGGGGGCGATGAATTAATGAATACAATCTTTCTCGTCACACCTACAATAAAATCCCATTAACTACGTACACCAGTAATTTTTCGGTGTTGTTTGCAACTAATTAATTCATCAGGATTATTTTTCCTTTCACTTGAGCTGCACCCAAACGGCTTCACTGGGGATCCGACGGTGGACGACGCTAAGCATGAAGTAACCCTCCGGCGCCACCGCACTGTTCGGCGGCGCCACGCACGACACGTCATACCTCCCTTCCCCGACTTTGACGGCGTCCTTCAACAACAACTTCACCAGCCTCTGGTTCATCGCCACGCCGTGAGTCGTAAACGCCGGCACGTACATGGTGACCATGAAGTTGGTCAGGAAGATCCTCTTTTCGTTCAGGTTGACTTTGACGGTGAGGTCCTGGCCGTATGACACCGTTTTGGGGCAGCCGCCGTTGATGATCTTGGGCTTCTTGTGGGCCCGGGAAGGGGAGAAGTAAGGAGGGGAGAACTTCTCGACGCGGAGCTCGGTGGGGAACGTGGTGTTGTCGTAGATGTAGCCATTGTTGGTGTTGCTGCCGGCGACGAGTACGCGGTTGTCGGGGAGGACGACGGCGGTGGAGTGGTACATTCTCGGGATGGTGGTTGGGTTGAGTTCTTTGAAGAGGCGGTGCTTGTTGGGCGCCTTGTGGTTGAAGAGGAGTGGTTTGAGGTTGGGTTCCCGGGCGTTTCCCCAGCCGGAGGCGCCTCTTGTTGCCCCGTTTATCATCAGAACTTCTCCGGTCGGCAGGATTACCTGTTTGAAACGTGATTAATTAGTATATACGACGTGTGTTAGTTTATCCACAAGTAAAATAAATAAGTTTCACCATATTTGAGAAAAATACAGTTTTCAGCCATTGTATAAGACACAAGGCAGTGGCATCACCAGGGTTTTACTTAAGGTGAGTCCGCTTTTAAAATAAAAATATCCAAAATAAATTTTATTAATATTTAAATAACTCATTCTTCATAGTTGGCTAACAAAATTTCATTTTGAGGGTGGAGAATTTGATACAAAATTATGAATTAGTAAACTCATAATACAAAATGATAGACCTTTCTACCAAAAATCTAGAATTATTAGTATGATATACACAACTTTAATGTGCGTACAGAACTCTCTATAGTTTATTAAAATCGTGAACATAAAACACTGGGATTCTGTATTATAAATCAATATTATGAATTGTATATAAATATTGTTACTTTATGGTATTTTAATCTAGAGCCAAGATGGATCTCAAAACTCAAGCTATTGGAAGATGGCTCCACCAATAATCTGAAGAAAAAAAAAAAAACAGAAATAAGCGGTGAATGTTGGGAAATTACCATATCACCCATGACCCTAGCACTTGGCATGACCTCCCGACGCCAACTCGGCCTGGGCTTGGTAATCTGCAACCTGCCACAATCCCGAAGCGCCTCGTAGAACACATTCTTCAAACCCAGTGTGTACGAGTCGATATGAGCGGAACCACCGCAAACAAGCACCTCAGCCTCCACGACAGCATCGGCCTCCGGCGACAACACCTCCAGCGGGAGCAGCACCGCCATCCCGCTGGCCGGGTAGTTACGGTGGCCGCCGGGGAGCACGGGGAACTCCTTCACCACCGTGTTGGTGTCCGGGTTGAGGAGCACCGACCTGTTGTTAGCATAATAGAGTATAGTTAAGACTAAAATGTAATTTTTGTTTATTTTAGGCATTACATTGTAATTTAGTAGTACAAAACTTATATAAAATATTGTAATTCGAATACTGTGAAAATTTACTTTGCGGAGGTACAAAATTCGGTTTATCATCATATCACGACATGATGATACGATGGCATAGACATGATGATACGATGGCATATTTTTTATTATTATATAAATACGATGATATGACGACATTAATTATATCATGGTATCACCAATCATATCATAATAAAATGATATGATCGGGATTTTGTATTGTTTTGTAAGCCGGAATTTTGTACAGAAACTCAAACCCGAATAAAAATTCTATCGTTTCACTCTCGTAACAAACCTGTTGTTGGCAAAGACGAAGACGTTGCTATCGGGGGAGAGGAAGACAAAAGGATAGAGGTTGTTCTCTTCTGGATCCGTCGTCTGCTGGAGGAAGTCGAAGAAGAAGGGCTTGGCGTTGGACTTGCCGTCCGGAGGGATGTACTCGTAGGTTGGGGTGGATCGGCCGCCGATGATGATGATTCGGCCGTCGGCGAGCTGGGCCTGGGTTGAGTACCAGCGCGGGGAGGATAAAGCGCTGGGGAATTCGCGCCACGTGGAGGTGTTGTAGATTTTGAGGTACCGGACCGTGTTGGCGCCGCCTTGGAACCCGCCGGTGCTGATCAGGTTCCCGTGAAATGTTAGGCCTCCCGATGAGCACCACGTGTCCGTGTGAAGCTGCCAAAAGGGAAAGAGTGCTCATGTATTGTTTGATTATCAATAAACGAAAGTCAACTCATATAATTTGAAGTATGTATATGTTTGAATATCATGTATATAATAACTTGGGTTATCGGGATTTCAATACAAGATTTTTTGGTTATTAAGAGCTAGCTTTAATATACCATGTTACGAGCTAGTTGGTTCCAACAGCTCGAGTTTTTGACAAATATTTAATTATGAATCATATATCACTTATTAACACATTGAATCACCAAGATTTGAACAAAAGACCCCATTATCACACAAAACTCTTATATCGATTCACGTCAATAACTAGTTGATCTAATAACTCAGGTATTTAGGTCTCCATGCAAAATGACGTAAATGTTGTCGGAAATAGTATAGGGACCGACGTACCATGGTAGATGGGAATGGAAATAAAGAAATAAATATACAGCGGGCGGTAGATGGGGCAGCAAGTGACGTACGTACATGATTAAATCACCGACACGACGTCGTACTAGCGTACCTCGAGGGGAGTCAGGTGAGCGGTGTCGATGTCCATCAAAACGGAGTGAGCAAAGCAATCCTCCTCGCCGGTGGTGGTGTTCAGAACCCGGCACCGTCCTTTGGGCAACTCGATCCTTGAAATCCGCCATATGGTGGCGTCGTACATCAAAACCTTGTTCACGTTGGGGATCACGATCGCGTGCATCGCCGACACGCCGGAGTTGTCCGTGAACAGCTCCCATTCCCCCTTCCACTCGTTGGTGGGGAGTCTTTTCCCCTTGAACTCGCCGACCGGGTCAGGGGAGGGTTCGGGTTGGGAGAATACTGTAACTGTGAGGAGGAGGAGGAGGAGGAGGAGGATGAAGAGGAGAAGACTTGGCGGGGGCGAGGGTGGTGGTTTCATTGTTCTTGTTTTATTGTCGACGGCGGGCGGCAGTCGTTGGTGATTTTGTTATGAGGTCGGAGAGTGAAGAGTGGGTTTTGCTTTATATATAGGAGAGGGAGTGTAGTGTAGTACAGTATACCAAAGAAAGAGAGAGTGAGGTTTCGTTTTTTATGATGGTAAATAAATTATTTACTATTGGTAGTTTTTTTTTTTGGTCCTACTTGGTGGCGTGTGACAGTCATTTACGTGTGAGGTGGTGGACAATAATAATTATATATACTTTCACCGGATCCGTAATTTCTCACCGTCGACAGAATCCCTGAACGTATTAAGCATGAATGGCCATGGGCGGGTTTGGAAAAGGTTTGTCCAAACCATTCTTGTTTATATTTTCAAATATTCAAATTCATATTCATTTTATGTTAGTGCAGAAATTTTTTTGCAACTTCATTCACATACTCGTGATTTTCGGGTATCCATGGATTTATCCACCCAATACATCCAATATTATTATACTTAAAATTTACATGTTAAAATTTAATTATAACATCACAAAGTCAACCAATATATGATCATTCTTAATATGGCTTAAAACATCTGATACATCTACTACGTTATAATTAGCTAATATAATCTTGTTAAAATGAGGAAAAAGTGAAAGAGTGTAGGGAGGAATTGAGGGAATGGAATTAGGTTTTAATTTGGGTGACTAACATTATACTATTTTCTTGAGTTACTCTTATTGTCATGTATTGATCAGGTTACAAAATGATCAATTATTTTTTATATGTGAAGAAATATTCTTTGATGAGATGGATATAGGTATGGGGCGGGGGAAGCTAAAGTCATACCCACATACGGACCCATTATTTATTTATTATTTTATTATTATCGGCACACACACCAATTAAAAGTCATGGGTCCGTCACTGTCCATATCCATCAAACGTTTTGCGATTGTTAACCATACACAGTCAATGCGAAAATTTCCCACGTTGATTGCCTCGAGAGTGATGTGGTACCCGAAGTCTTGGGTTTGATTGTCATCCCTAGTATTATGGCATACTTAGAAGCAATTTTTCCACTGTTACAAATTTTCTAATCATGTCGAGTAAATTTTAGAAATATAATTCATCTGTACCCAAAAATATTATTTAGTTTTACTTAGTTTTCATTTCTGTTAAACGAGAGAAAAAGAGAGAATATCATAGGTTTTGATTCAATTGTATTTTTTTAATATTATACCGTCTTCCATTAAACTAGGATCTAATACCATTGATGACGGTGGTATATTGTTTGTTTTCCATCCACCACTTCTGTCACTACAATGATCATTGCCGACCAGAAAAATTAGCTACAACCTACCAAGTCAGATATTGGTGGTCTCATACACTTTCGCGACCAGAATTCATTAGTGACTGCCTGCTCTATCTGCCAACCAAATTTTAATCTAAAAGTTGGAGATGTTGGCAGATATCGCTTTTGGTTGTCAAAATAATCAAACAGAAAGAAAGATCAAGAGATTTTTTTTTAACGTAGTATGGTAAATATAACACTAGTCAACAGAGAATCTCCCTCTCAGGTTTTAGGTTTTCTTATTTCGTTAACTTGTAAGTACATTACAATGATATATATATAGGTTGTAATTACAACCCTAATTCTGAATGGCTATTTACAACATGGTACTTATAACTAACACTCTCCCTCAAATTGATGTTGGGTACGCAACATCAATTTGCTTGATACGTACCAATGTCGACTAGAAGACACAGCCTTTGTAAGAATATCTGCAGTCTGGTCTTCTGTATTGAGATAGCTAATCTATATCGTTCCTTCTGCAAATAGCTGACGAATATAGTGCACATTGACTCGCTTGTACTGTCACACTAGAAAGTGACACACAACCCCGATCGTCGGTAGAGGATTTCCTAGATCAATATTAGCAGCTTACGAGGTCAACTGGTCTTCTAAGACGTTCCCTATCTCTCTCAATGCGAGTTCTAGACTCAAGGCAGGATCATGAGAAGCAGTGGAACTAAGACAACCAATTCATGGATAAAGGGACTAACACAATTCAACAACCAAGGACTCATTGTATCTGGGTGCCCTTTCACTTCATTTCAACCGTTGGAACCCATTTCCACACTTTCCTTTTCCTCAACTCGTGTGGAGGGTCAATGAAATTAAGGGGGGTCGGAAGCTCTATCCATGCCCTTAAAAACACATCATCGAGTAGGCAAACCGTTCAACGGGTGAAAATTTTACTTGTACTAGAGACAGTTTAGCTTCACCTTGTAGGAGTACCCCACTAAAGATCACTAAAATCTCTTCCAAAACCCGATTTTGTGTAATGAACGGTGCCACACACGTTGGGCTTACCCCATGTTTAAGATTTCAATTATTCTGACATGGAGGACCAACTGCTTATTCATTTCACACATGAGCACCCTGCTTCGATACACGAGTCCACAACACCATATAAAAAGAGTCACCAATACCACATGAATTCAACGGTCTTATATCCACTAGTTCACAAAATCAACCGGCACAGCAGAGAGATAGATAGGAAAAATCTTATACTTCAACATCCTCTATAGTGCTACAACTACCTCCCTAGGTTGCATATCACCATAAAGACTGTCAATTCAAAGCATACTGAGCAGGTTATTGCAGGGAATAGTACTTGGAGCCCTCAAATTAAAAAATTTGGACAGTGGACTAGGCTCCAAGCACACAAACAGAGCTAAACAGTCAAATAGAAACATCTCCCCACACTTAAGTTCGACAGTGCCATCAATGGAGAAGAGGGAAAGATAAGGAGAACGATGTTACCGGGAAGAACAAACTGCAGCGGGACTGGAAAGTGGACCATTGGAGTGAGAAGGGCTGGAAATGGGATCAGTCGTCACAATGGCACAGGCTAGAGAAAACACAATCACTCATCCACAAACATGTTAGGTAGAGTTGTCAGTCCAATAATACATCATCCAAAGAAAATCAAACCAAACCAAAACACAAAATCCAGTTTGCACTCTGACTCAAAATAAAACAAACACAAAAGGACCAGCGAGTACAGCCTACTCGAGCTGGCTGAAGTCAATCTGCTCCATAAGGTCGTCGACTCTGTCCTGCGGTGGTGGTGGCGAGTGAGCCCACGGAGTGGTCCAGTGGTGCTCCTGCGGGGGGTGGCAACACTGGAGCAGATGCTCCTGGTACTCCATCATGCGGCGGTTTCGACCCCGCTCCCGCTCAATGTGAGCACCGATAACGCCCTGCTAGGCCTCTAAGCGGTCGAGACGCTCGTCTAGCACAACCGTCCTGGTGGAGTACTCAGCCTGGTGGGCCGAATACTGCTGCTGAAACTGGACCTGGTGGTCCATGAGCCGCCGGCTCTGGACCCCAAGTTGCTGAAATTGGAGCCCCATCTGGTGAAACTGCTCCGTGAAGAAATCCATCGACGGAACAAAAGGACCTGAGGAGAACTGACCTCGCTCTGGTCTCCGTCGAGGGAGGAGATCCCCTGGAGGGTAGAGTGGGGGCTCCGAATCATTCGCATCCATTGCGCCCCCCATCATCATCATCATCACCGGCCTCATCCGTGCCAGTGTAGTCCTCATCCTCCTTATCACCCTCCTCATATGCATCCTCCTCGTCCGGTGGCATGGATAAACCATCAACCCACTCCGTCCCTCAGCAGAAGCTAACAGTAGGGCGTTGCGGATGATCTCCCTGCTGAGGGGGGCGGAGCCACCGTACTCCGTAGCATCAGTCATTCCCGCCAAGTCGATCTAGAAGTGGCGAGCCAGCTTCGTGATCAAGGGACCACAGAAGAAGTAAGTGGGTTTGTTGTGACACCGAGCAAAGGTGGTGGCCACAATAGACCCCAGGTGCAACAGGTGGTCAGGGTCCCCCATGGAGTACATGGCGTAGAGCACCCGCTTTGGCATCTTGTGCGAGCCCGTGGCGTTGGGGATGATCGAGCGAGTGAGGAGGAGGTTGATGATGTGCCACTCGGGTCGGATGGTAGAAACTGTCGTCTGGCTGGCCTCGAAGAAGTTCCCCTGGAAGGCAGGGCGGGCGATGCGGCGGTAGAACTCATTCTGGTTCCAGTCGGTGGGATGGGGAACTTCCTTCTGGTGGTGGGAGTATGGGTGGTAATGGACCCTCAAAGCATGGGCCAGCCATCGAGGCTCATCTTTCGCATATGCCCATCGAGCCGGAAGGTGACACCGGTAGTGGAGTGGCGAGATGCCTTGGACCGGTACTTGAACGTGGAGTAGAACTCCCAAACCAGCTCCGTGTAGGTGGAATCGAAAGCGGTCAGGAGGACCCGCCAGTGAGGATGGCTGATGGCGGCGGCGATCTCCCGCATGCAGTGGAGCTGGTGGAAAATGCTGAACTCGAGGTGATGGTGGCGGTGAAACACCCCGTTGATGACCCTAGCGTATTGTCTGGCAAAGTCGGGGTGAAGGCGCAAGTCCTGCATGTAGGGATGGTTGAGCGATATGATTCTGCACACGCAACAAACCACAGATGGAGCCAAGAAAATTCACGTTAGGGCCGCAAGTATGGGTTCAACAGCTCTCCCACACTTGAGCAAGAAACACACCTGGAAACGCAAGTAGGACCGTAGACGGGCACGGACAAGGGGCGAGGGACGCGAAACCACAGAGAAAACGACCTGAGTGGGCTCGCCGGAAAGTCGCCGGAAGTCGGTCGGAAAAATCGCTGGCGGCGGCCGAAAAAATTGAAACTCACCCAAATCGGGCTAAATTTCTGGCGAAGGTGCGCCCCGCGACGTAGTTCCCTAATGCGCGAACGGATTTTAAATCAGAGGTCGGACGAAGACGGGATCTATGAAACTCCGACGAAGAATATTGCTCCGACAAGAGAGCAGGAGAGGAAGAGAGAGAGGGTTCTTAAAAAATGAGAGGAGAGAGAGAAAGACTGACCGGGGGTTCGCTTTTAAAGTAAAAATACCCGGTCGGGTATTTTGGGTCAAGGTCGGGTATTCCTTCTTTTTTCACCCCCTGATCAGAAGGGGGTCCGACCGTAATGCCAAAACACCCGGTCGGGTTTTTTGAGTCACGGGCGGGTATTTTCCCCTTCTGGGCCAAAATGAAAATTTTCTCATTTTTTCGAAATCCCTGCACGAAAAACACCAAAACGAGGCACCAGACGACCTAACTTGAAACAACCCAGACTTGCGTCATTACCAAGCTCGAATTACCTGCCCACGAAGCTAGCCCAACTCATACGAATAATCTGGAATTTTGGCTAAGTGTATTGACGTGTTCAGGTAGCCAACTTTGGGAGCTCGCTTCTTCCAATTGGGTTGATAAAAATGGGAGTTTAGGGTGTCGTTTTGATCATGAAGACTTCCTGAACAAGATGGTATGTGTTTCGGATTCATACGACGCAATTAAGGCTGCTTCCCACGGGCTCCAAGTAGCTATCGCACAACTGGCAGTTTTCCAGAATTTGACCAAGTCTGGAGGTATGTTCAGGAAGGTCACTTTGGAGTTCCATTCTGGGCAGAGGACAGAGAATCGAGTCAGGGACTCGATACCACATGAAAATATGCATTTTCATCTACAAAGGAAGGGCATTGGGTGAAGTGTTTCATATATGGAAGTCGTCCATTGAAGGCCTCGAAGATGGGATCAAAGGTTGTTTGGTGACTTGGAGCTGAAGGCAGAATTGTTTCACTGTTTCCTTGATTGAGTTGAAATTTAATTCCTTTTCAGTTAAATCGTGTTTTGTCAAGTTCCAGTAGGATAAGGAAGTTGTTAGGCGAGTTCTATTAGCTTAGCTATATAAAAACTCATTGTTTGCGTTGTAAGTTCGGCAGTTGTTAAAAGTTTAATAAGAACCCTAGTCATTGAGTTCTAGCTCTTTGATTTGTCCTTGTTGTGTGGAATTAAATCCATCAACGAGCGAGCTCAGCATCGATTGATTGTTCCCATCAATCGTGGACGAGTTGCACCCAATTGGATCGAGCCTCTTCCCCGATTTCATGTGTTGAAGTTGCTCTTCCCAACTCCACCCTTTATTCCCTGTTTTGTACGTGTTCTTTCCCCAATTCATCCGCTAAGTTCGATTGCAAGGAATTGAGGGTTCGATTTATCAAGCTTCCAGGGTTGGAGCTTATCAAGTGGTATCAGAGCCTATGTTCAACACAATGGATACAACGCGTTGGACAAGGTCTAAAGGGCCTGTGTCCAGTGACCCTGCCATTCATCGACAAAGCTCAGGGGAAGAAACAGAGTCTGGAGGCGAGGCTCAAATCAACGAACCCGACATGGCTGGGCAGCAAATTAACATGACCGAGCTGGAAGTTTTCCAGAATTTGCCCTCAAAGCTTGTTCTTTCTTCTTCTCGAAATCGGTTCAAAACTGGGTCCAAGTCGGATCGAACGAAGGCTGTACAAACTCCAGTTTCTGCAACATAAGAACAACGTTCTTGATCAATGAGATTAGGGCTTCCTGATCTATGAACATCCAGTCCAATTCAGGGCTGATACGAGGTTGTCCATACTCCCAATCGACTTCCTGGACACTTCTCGTGCTTCGACGCGTCGCCAGCCGTGGCGGCCCAATTCCATGTTCCTTCCCGCTAACAATAGTGTTCGAAAATGACCCAACCAGCAATTTTGATTTCAATTTGGGCATTTTTTTCCTAGCTTCCTCCGAGTGAAATTGATCAACCCCACAGCTTTCCAAGGATGGGAGAAATGTCTTGAAAGTGCCGGCCAGCTTTGATTCGTCCCCCGGCGTCCCACCCCATTCACACGGATCTTCTGCTTCGTCGTGCGCTACCAGAGACGGAGGATTTCGAATTTGATCGTGCAAATCAGGCACGTTCGAATAGTTTTCGTTGTCTGAAGAGATTCTGGGGTTCTCGAGGGAGGAGTTGGCGGTGGTAGTGAAACTCGACGTTGGCCAGGCCGCTCCGACCAATAGCTTCTCTCTCCTGCCCTGCCACGGCGGTGTGCGACAGAGCATTTTAGCTCGTCGGCGACGTGGAATCCCAGCCTTCTGAAACGCGGTGATCAGGTACCTTCGTGCCATGAAATTAGAGCAGCTGGCCTCATCGCGTCCCTAAGCTCGGTTAGCTTCCATTTTATGTTAATCGGCGCGAGCTTCTGCCGGAGACAGCGGTTTGAGCATGAAGCTCTTATTTCCCTGCCGCAATTTATAGCAGTTGGTGGCCCCGTAATGACAGGCTCCGCGATCAAACTGCCACGGGCGTCCGAGTAGTAGATGAGTAGCCTGCATAGGTGCTACGTCGAACACCTATTCGTCACTATAATCACCAATTGAAAAGGGTACACGTACTTGCCTGTTTACCTTAATGGCGCCAGAATTGTTAAGCTTGTGTAAACTATAAGGGTCTGGGTGTTTGCTGGTTGTCAACCCAAGCCGCTTAACCACATCCAGACTAATGACATTCGCACAGCTTCCCCCGTCGATGATTAAAGACAACAATTGGCCATTAACGACACAACAGGATTGAAACAAGTTCTCCCTCTGATCTGTGTCTGAATGAGAAGCCATGGTGAGAGCACTCCTGTTAACTGCGAAGAGCTTGCCGGGTGGCGGGTCGGTTATCAGAATCTCCTCGTCTACTTTGTCTCCATCGGAATTAGTTGAAGCCTCCTGAGGTTTCTCCTCCTCTTCTTCTTCTTCTTCTTCTTCTTCAGAGTATTACTCACCATCACGTAGCACGAGTGCCTTCCTGTTGGGACACTGATTAGCTTTATGTCCACGACCAAAGCATTTAAAACATTGGATACTGGCGCTAGAGCCTTCAGTTTTTGGTTGTTGATTGCGAGAGAAGGTGGGTTTCGCAGCCTCTGTTCGTATCGGCGTTGACCCTGAGCTTGGAGCAACGTCTGAGGTGGTCTTGTGGGCAGGTGAGAAGCGCCTTGCAGTGACGGTTTTGAGCTGTCTTTCTACCTTAATTGCTAGGTGCAAAACCTCTTCCAGATCAATGAACGACCGCAGTTCTACTTCCTGACGAATCTCGCGGTTTAAACCATGGAGGAAGCGAGCAATTGTCGCCTCTCGATCCTCTCGGATGTCAGCGCGCATCATGAGCAGCTCAAGCTCACGATAATAGTCTTCAACGGAACGAGATCCTTGCCTCAGTTCTTGCAATGACGTGTGTAATTCCCGCTGGTAATAATCAGGTACGAACCTGTCACGCATAAGGCTCCGTAACTCTGCCCAGGTGGTTACCTCTGGCTGGAGATTCTGTCGCCGCCGAAGCTGAGTTCGTTCCCACCATTGCGCGGCATAATCGGAGAATTCGTAAGTCGTGAGCTTCACCTTCTGTAGCTCTGTGTACTTGATATTCGGCTTTAATATATCGGATTCTTGGACTTTATGTGATTATCTGTGGTATGTTTTAGCCAATTGGTACTATTTTAGGGCTCGCTAACCCGAGAATGGTTGAAAAACCATTACTGCCTAGTGCCATGAGTTTGATATGATACAGGTGGAGAAGACACGAAAGAGGAGCGAGTGCACAAGCAATAAATCGGGCTCGAATTACTTATGGACTACTCACTTGGGATAAGGCGCAGAGGAATTGGACGGAACGTGGGACGGGAACTAGAGCTGGAGGCCAAAGAATTGGATTGGGCCAAAGCCCATTTTATGTTTTATCTCCTTGCTGGGCAGCGGAACAAAGGGTGGAAGAATTGGACACAGCCAATTTTGGAGGCGGAATCTCTTTGGTGGAGACAATTGGAACCGGGCGGACTTTACTTGACCAGGGGGGAACGGAAAGGAATAATAATAAAAGAAAGAGGGCAGCAGCTTGGTTAGGGACGGAACAAACTTTTAATGGAGTGCGGGGCGGAATTTTTTGGAGGATAGAAAGAACAGCAGCGAGCGGCGTAGCGGAGCTTGGGACGAGCAACTTCTCATCGAGCAGCGATCAGTTTTTCTTAAACGAGAGCGATTAGTTGGTTGGATTTCCTAAACCAAATTAGTTGTTAAAAAAAAAATCAAAAAAAATCAAAAAAAATCAAAAAAAATAAAAAAAAAATAAAAAAAAATTGTTTGTTCCTTTTGTCATGTGGTCGGTAAAAAAACAAAAAAAACAAAAAACAAAAAACAAAAAAAAATTGCCATTAGGTTGAGCACAGCCAAACTGCATGCAGTTTGCCTGTGTAAAAAGCAGTCTGCCTGTGTAAAAAGCAGTCTGCCTGTGTTAATCTAATGGCTAAAAAACACCTAAAAATAAGAAAAAATAAAAACAAAACCTTGTACTCTTGTGGTAACATGATGTAAATGACTGTGATGCGTGTGAAATGAGTTTGTGTTTGAATGAAATCATCAAAATCACCCCACTAGTGTTGAATTGCATAGTTTGTGCTTTGAAAATGAGCTTGATGTTTTGACTGACTTAATGTGCTTTGAATTAGCAAACTCTTGTAGCAACATTCTCTTTTGTGAGGATAGTGTAACGACTTTTGGTGAAGTAGTTAGGTGGAGAACATTGACCATTCGATATGTTTGGATACCGTGCTTACTTGCATCAATTGTGAGTTTTTGATTTTGCAACGAGTCTCTGTTTTGAATGTTTTATGATGGGGTGAACTGTATCTTCATAAAAGAAAACACTACCTGACAAGTAAAAGATAAGAAAGTTGCCATAACAATTAAAGTGTGGGTAAAAATGCCAAAATCGTGTGAGGCAATCACTCATTGCACATGGGGATGAGGAAAGATTCAATTGAGAATCGGTTCGCGACCGTACGATGTTGCTTATCAAGTACGATCCCCAGTTGAGTGAAGTGCCATTTGAGGAGCAATGACCCTCCACACGGACCGAGGATAAGGAGTTAAAAGAAGCTCTTATGCGAGTGCTAAGAAGCAGAAATTGCTCTTGCTCGGTCACCGGTAGTAAGAAACAAATCCCACTTGTACTAAATACGACCTCTCGGCAAGCAAAAGCAGAAAGAGAGAAAGCCTCTCCTTGTCATAAAAGGTAGTGATGTGCTTAAAGTAAAATCATGTTTGCGAAAGGCTTCCCCCATTAGTTTTTGAGACTCATGCTTAATTAATTGCTTATGATTGGTGTGAGTAAGCCAGACTGTCCTCACGAGATATGCACCTCACTGATGTGGTTAGATTCTCCTAATAATTGTTGCACCATAAGTTGTTAACCACCCACTACCGACGATCGAAATTGAGTGTTGCTATTTGAGTTTTTGGATGGATTTGAGTCAGTCAATGGTAATGGTTGCAAAGAACTTGAGTGTGGGGTGAAAGGTATGACCATTAGAGCACAACTTGTTCTTGAGAAAGAAACTACTGATTACAACAAGAGTACAAGGAAATTTTGTGTTTTGCTTTGAATGTTGAGTCTGTAATGTGTCATTGTTTTGGATGATTATGTGTTTGTGTTGTTTGAGTCGTTGCTTAGGGACAAGCAACAATTGAGTGTGGGGTTGTGATATTCGGCTTTAATATATCGGATTCTTGGACTTTATGTGATTATCTGTGGTATGTTTTAGCCAATTGGTACTATTTTAGGGCTCGCTAACCCGAGAATGGTTGAAAAACCATTACTGCCTAGTGCCATGAGTTTGATATGATACAGGTGGAGAAGACACGAAAGAGGAGCGAGTGCACAAGCAATAAATCGGGCTCGAATTACTTATGGACTACTCACTTGGGCTAAGGCGCAGAGGAATTGGACGGAACGTGGGACGGGAACTAGAGCTGGAGGCCAAAGAATTGGATTGGGCCAAAGCCCATTTTATGTTTTATCTCCTTGCTGGGCGGCGGAACAAAGGGTGGAAGAATTGGACACAGCCAATTTTGGAGGCGGAATCTCTTTGGTGGAGACAATTGGAACCGGGCGGACTTTACTTGACCGGGGGGAACGGAAAGGAATAATAATAAAAGAAAGAGGGCAGCAGCTTGGTTAGGGACGGAACAGACTTTTAATGGAGTGCGGGGCGGAATTTTTTGGAGGATAGAAAGAACAGCAGCGAGCGGCGCAGCGGAGCTTGGGACGAGCAACTTCTCATCGAGCAGCGATCAGTTTTCCAGGCGGTTTGAGCTGAGTTCAACGAGAGCGATTAGTAACTTGATAGGTCAAAAGCGTATGCCAATTTCCTATCTTGTAGTAAACCGGAAAGTCCGGGTATCGTCTCTCAGGGACTGGTACAACCTTATGATTTATCAATTCTTTCGAGCAAACTATATGTGAAAATGTTTAAGAGATGAAATTATTAACTAAAAGCAAAATTAACTAAACTAATTAAGCAAAGTAAACTTGTCGAGGAAAATTCAATGGGAGAAAGCTCTGGGAGAAACACCGGGATTCACTACCTATCCTATCCAGATTAATTCACATATTCCAATCAATTTAATCCATACCTCTACAGCCAGGATATCACTACTGTGCTAGCTATCCCTGTCGGGAATTACTACGTACTAAATAATCAATTCAAATCCTACTGTCGTAGCTCAATGAATTAACTATATAGCCTGAAGATCGATATCCTATTTAAGACCGCATAACACCTTATTTAATCCACTGTCGCTTCGATAAGTTACTATGTCACATGAAACAGGTTCAGTTAATAGGGTTTCACTGTCGCTAATAACCTAATTAACTACAAATCGTTGTATTGGTGGCCAGTCAACACAAAGCATTAAGCAATTTCATGCAATAGAGATAGGAAGAAAAGAATCATGAATAATCCATCAAATCAAGAAATAGCTACATCCTATGGTGTTTCCCCCAGAAATTGTGGTTTAGTTCATGACGAAATTAAGATAAATCAATAGGGTTTTGTTCATCATGTTCTAAATCAACAAGAAACAACTAATTTGGTTTAGGAAATCCAACCAACTAATCGCTCTCGTTGAACTCAGCTCAAACCGCCTGGAAAACTGATCGCTGCTCGATGAGAAGTTGCTCGTCCCAAGCTCCGCTGCGCCGCTCGCTGCTGTTCTTTCTATCCTCCAAAAAATTCCGC